TTTTTTATATAACTTTCCTGAATGAACCAAACTAGACAGAGAGCAAAGCTAACGGAGTCATGTTTAGGAATCGCCCACTCCGAACAAAACGAACACCCCTCGAAGACAGTCCATTTCCTCCAAATCTGGGTCCTCCCCTGGAAATCCTCCCTCAAGCCCCAGTACCACACGCTGAGCTTCTCCGACGACGCAAAGCGCCAGTCCTTCGTCCCCATTATCTCTCCCCTGGCTGCCGGGCCCGAGGCCACCCCTGCCCAGGAGGAGGCCGCCGTGCCCGCCATCGCCGGGACGATCCCCATCCATGCGGATTTCGTGATGGGGGCGGGAATCCTCGAGTCCGGGAAGACGTTCCGGTGGGCGGTTGGTGGCGGAGAGGGTGCGGTGCAGTCGCGGCGGAAGCGGAATGTGTACGTGCATCTGCCGGCGAGCCGGACGGGAGGGGCGAAGATTCGGTTGGATGGGAGAGAGGATAAAGTGTTGGAGGAAGGGGATGGGGCGTTTGTGGAGGGGGTGAATGTTGGGGATGTGATTTCGGTGGAGAGTTTGGGGGAGGCCGAGGCGGAGGTGGTTATTTTGGATAGTAATTAGGGTCTTTTCTTTCTTTCTTTCTTTTCTTTTTTTATTCCCTGTTACTTGTGTGCTTTTACTTGTGGTCTTTGGTTTTGGTGGGCGTTGGTTTGGTTTAGTTTGCTTTCTATGTCTAGATACCAAGGATTGGTGTGGGTATTTTGATATACTATGTTGAGAATTTAATTTATTCTCATTCTAGACCGGTCCACTTTCCGATGGGTCTGTTGGAGTTCTTCGGTATGCCGAGTTAGTTTTCAGATTCCGGAGAATATAGTAGAGTATTTTTTCGCTAAGTGTAATGACTGGGAGAGTTGTACCTAGATCTGGAACAAGAACTAGCACGTCACTGTGGAAATTAGATGTATTTATACCATTAAAAACTGACGAACCTATCGAAACTAATACAAATACATAATACATATCGGGTGTCCGTCTGCCCCTGTTCAATATATCCAATAAAGAAGATAACAGCCTAGATCATAATCTCTGTGTCCCGACTTAGAACACGCCCGGTAGATCGAGACAGATCAGAAGAAGAAAAGTCATATGGTATCTCGAAGCGACAGACCGGCATACATGATAAAAATACATCCGGAGAGGAGAAGATTCGTTCTCTGGTCTAAATGTACAGAGTAGTTGCAGTAACCGCAAAGAACGCCGCCCAATGCATTCAGAAGTTTGTTCTTTCAATCTTTTCAGACAGATACGGGTAGTCAGCGACATATATGCTGTCTACCTGGATTAATAGCGGTCTCTGTTGTCCCAGCGGTTAGAACCACGGCGGCGAGAGTCGTAGCTGCGCTCGTGGCTGCGTTCGTGGTTGCGCTCATGGTTGCGCTCGTAGTTGCGCTCGTGGCTGCCTCTGCGGTTGTCACGACCACCCCTGAATTGGCTAGGACCACGAGAGGAATCACGCTGGCCTCGAGGAGAGCCAAAACGACGTCCCGAAACATTTGCCTCCCTTACGTCAGCCACGCCCAGGTTTTGGGCCATGCCAGGGGAAATCGATGGGGGCTCAGGCAGGTAATAGCCATGCACGGCGAGCTCGTTCATGGCGAGAATCATATCTCTCGGACGGGAGAAGACTGCCATCAGAGTGCCCAATTGAGACTTGAATGCCTGTTCCCGGATGTCTTCGGGAACCTTGAGCATAGCCTCCTTGACTTGCGACACAGACTCCGCGGCAGAAGGGGAAACATCGTCGCCCACTTCCTCGCGCATGTTCGTGACGGCCGTGGCCAGTGTGTGATCTTTCTCGATAGGAAGGTCTCCCAACCTTCTCTGGATCCAACCGTTCTCACCAGGATGAAGGAGGATCCATCCCTCACCTTCCTTGTTTGCTCGCCCAGTACGTCCGATACGGTGGATGTAGGTGTCACGGGAACGAGGGGCACCAACCTGAATGACATGAGTAACGTCTGGGAAATCCAAGCCTCTCGCCGTTACGTCCGACGAGAAGAGGATACCAGAGCGGCTGTTCCGGAAAAAGTCGGAAGTAAGCGTTCTCCGGTTTTGAGTCAGACGCGAGTGGAGCTCCATCATGTACATCTTGTTCAAAGGGTGGCCACTCCGGCGGTCATCGGGGTTGTTGAGCAACTTGCTAAAGACTTGGTAGGCCAAATTCACTTGCATGGTGGAGTTAAAGTAGACAATAGCCTTGAAAGGTCGAGCACTGCGGTCATTGGCCACGTGTGCTTGATAATTCTTAGCCAACTCAAGAATGGCGGGCAAAGCATTCTGGAAGCCATCGAGCGTAACAGTCTTCTGAGGAACTGCGAAATGAGTAGGCACTTCATCCTCCTTGACAGTTTGGATAGTTTTGAAATCAGGTTTCATAGTTTGGTGAACCATGGACAAGACTTCCCTCGGGACAGTAGCCGAGAACATGAGCGTCTGGCGATCGACTTTCATCGGGTCAGGAAGTAGGCGTTGAATGTCGAAAATCTCAGGAGCGAAACCATCATCCAGCAAGCGATCTGCCTCGTCGAGAACAAAGCTAGACAACTTAGGGGCCTCGACACCACTCTCTGGGTCGGAAAGAATATCCTTGAGTCGGCCGGGCGTACCAACCAACAAGTGGCAGCCTCTCTCTGGATCCGACGCAGGCCTTCCATCTTACGAGTGCCACCGACAGCCGATTGCACCACGATCCCAGTACCCGACGCGATCTTTTTCGCTTCTGTAGCGATCTGCTCCGCAAGCTCACGGGTTGGGGAGATTATGATGGCACGGATATCTGCCGACGAAGCTCCTGGGCCTGAACGCCGGTAAGAACGTTTTTTGACAGTGGGGTCCTTTATGATGTTTTGCACCACGGGTATGAGGAAGGCAAGTGTTTTTCCAGTTCCAGTCTTTGCTTGAGCCAACCTGAAAGAGCACAAATGTCAGCATCAAAGAACACATCGCGGACAAAAGTCAAACTCACACATCGTTCCCTTGCAGAGTTTCCTGAATGGTCATGCTCTGAACATCCGTCATCGTCTTGATACCCATCTTCTTGTCAAGGGTACGAATAATGATGGGGTCGACCAAGCCTTGATCCGCCAGCTGCTTGAAATTTGACAGGCGACCATCCTGGTCGGCCTCAGCATTCTGGGCCTGAGCTTCGGCAACGGCAGAGAAAGAGACTCGGGATGCATGGAAAAGCGAGCGGGGCACATGCGAGACTGCAGAGAAGGCCGGTGGATGCCATTGTAGCTGCTGAGGTGTCACTCTGGCCGAAAGAAATCGTGGAGCAGAAGCGCGCAGCGCATGGGCAACGCCATTTCGGCGGAAAGCGCCCAACATGATGAGAGCAAAGGGGAATGGGAAAAGGTACTCAAAGGACTCAAGACAAGAACCGACTATCAAGAAAAAATGAATCAACTGAAAAGATATTTCCACGAATACAAATGATGGGTAAAAGTGAGATAGGGATGGATGAGAAAAAACGGTTGTTTTGGCAAGAGGCGACAAAAGAAAAAATGTCCGGCAGAAAAACTGTCCAAGTCGGAAGGGATCACGATCAGCCACTCAGAAGGCAAGGATATCCTCCCGACAAGGAACAACAACAATCCGTACCTGGAGGTAATTTACCAACCATTTTTGCTTTGTTCATCGCTTAGAGTAGTATTAAGTTTGTAAATAGAAATATAGCTATAGTCATTATAGAGATATGCCCATTTCTTTCGGATCTCAGTTGTGAAGTTCGACAGGCAAGTCGATCACGGAGTATGTCCATACTGCACGTCCTGTACTGTATCAAACTTCTATGTTGATGGCCTCAGGCAGTGCTCGGGTGTTGAAGTTCGATAAGGACGAAGGATCATTTAAGTACCCCTGGAGAGAGTATGACACTAGTCGAGATCATTGAATAATCTAGAAGAGATGATGAGCCCATGGTCTACAGAGTACCGAAGATCAAGTTAATATCCAATTCAAAAGCCATTGAGAAGATGTGCTGACTAAGCGTCGGATGCAGAAAGTTAAAAACAAAAGACTGAAGAAAAAAGAAAAAGAAGAAGAAAAATGATCATTCCATGACTTCATTTTGGGTAGGGATTAGTTATGTACATACGAGGAACATGATATATACTTCTTAACTTGACAACATTATACATCCACCATCTACCATCACGGAAGTATGCCCCTTCAATTGATTAGTGAACCTCGCGTAGCAACTTTTAGCAACATCTCCGACGGAGACATTACTCATTTCCTGATTTGTGATCATCAGCAAACTCCGTCCGGTTGTTTTGCCCAGAAGGTTATTCTCTTCCGTGCCTCCAAAGAAGTCTGAATAATGTACTCCGTAGCGATCCACCCAACACTCTGCAGGTTCAACGTCACCCATACTTGTCAACCCACTTTGCTGTTTCCGGAACCTTTGCCTCGGGCGTCTTCCCCATCTTTTGCCTCTCGAGAAGCTTCTGCCGTGTTTGAACTTTGGGAGTGAATCTTAGTTGCTTTATAATCGTCATGAGAGGAGATTGGAACTGCCCCGCTTTGCTTGAGGGGGTGGTCGCCTATAAAAGGAACCTGTAGCTCGAGCCTATATAACCATTTATCCATAACCCATATCTATCTATACCCAACATAACTTGTTTGCTGTGATTACTATCCTCTCTCAATCTACCCGCCCTTCCATACTCATACCTTATCATCACCATGTCCCAGAACAAGGCTCTCGTCTTCAAGAAGGTCCCTCAGGGATATCCCGTCCCTGGACAGGACATCGTTGTCGAGCCCGTGTCGGTCGACGCCAACTCTCCCGCTCCTGCCAATGGTGTTGTCCTGCAGTCTCTCTACACTAGCCTTGATCCCTACATGCGTGGCCGTATGCGCCCCGCTGAGGTGAAGTCCTACTCTCCTGCCTTCGCCATGGACAAGCCCATCGACAGCAGCTCCATCGCTAAGGTCCTCCGCTCCAACAACTCCAAGTACAAGGAAGGCGACCTGGTCATTGGATTCGTCCCCATCCAGGAGTACATTGTCCTGGACGAACAGTCCATCGTCCGCATTCGCCCTCTCGAAAACCCCTTGGGCATTGAGGATATCCGTGTCTTCCTGGGTGCCCTTGGTATGCCCGGTCTGACCGCTTATTCGTCCCTGTACGAAATCGGCAAGCCCAAGAAGGGCGAGACCATCTTCGTTTCTGCTGCCAGCGGTGCCGTCGGTCAGCTGGTCGGTCAGCTCGCTAAGCATGAGGGCCTCAAGGTCATCGGCAGTGTCGGATCGGACGACAAGCTGGAATATATCACCAAGGAGTTGAACTTTGACGGTGGTTTCAACTACAAAAACGAGAAGCCCGCCGATGCGCTGGCCCGCTTGGCCCCCGAAGGTATCGATATCTATTATGAGAACGTCGGAGGTGAGCACCTGGAGGCTGCTTTGGATGCCATAAACAACTTTGGCCGTGTCGTCGTTTGCGGCATGATCTCGCAGTACAACTCGGCCCCCTACCCCATCAAGAACATCCAATACGTCTTGACTAAGCGCCTGACTATGCGTGGCTTCATTGTTGGCGATGCCGGCATGGGTGACAAGTACACCAAGGAGCACCAGGAGAACGTTCAGAAGTGGATCAAGGAGGGTTCGTTCAAGGCTCTGACCCACGAGACCGTTGGCATTGACAATTCGGCCGACGCTCTACTTGGTATCTTCCACGGAAAGAACAAGGGCAAAGCTGTCCTGAAGTTTTAAGCTGTTCATCTTTTGTTACATAGAGTATAGTTCATTTTGCAGAGAGGCGTTCTTTGTGTACCTCGGTAAACTGATGTTATAATAAATAATGTTGGGAATATAATGAATCTTCAAGAAAAAATAGTACAATTTCTGTATTTAAGAAAAAATTGTAACAAAGGCAATAATAGCAGTAAAACGTAAACGATGACCGACAACTCCAAGAAGGCTGTAAGGGAGACATTCATGTTTTCCGTCTGTATAGCCGATTAATATTATTTGCCGGAATGTCGGCCATTTTCGGCTGGGCGGAGAGAGACGGGCCAATCAGCTGAACCGCAATAGGATGACCGCATTCCCGATTGGACTTCCGAGGTTCCATCCTGACGAACTTGAACGACTTCAACTTGTTGCTTTGCCTCGTGCAGCGTTGAGTCGCAGAGAATATACCCAACGTCTCGCATTTCAACACCTTCGCAATGGCCTCGATCGCCCGCCAGTCTTCCCTCCTCCGGCAGTCCTGCCTCTCTGCTTTCCGCTCGCCATTCGCGACCAGAAATGGCGCCGGCGTGTCGCAGGTTGTGGCCTTCCATGCCTCCGCGAAGAAGCAGATCCTGCCTCCTTTGCCTCGTGAGTGACTCCGAATATGACTTGGTCGTGGCTATAGTATCAATCATGGTTCTTGGTCGGCTAGATGTCAAGGAAAGAGATGCTAACGAGTTCGAACAGAGACCATTCAGGGAACGAGTACGTCCATCCCCGACTCCTGAAAGACTCAAATCGAGCTTCCTGTTTGCAGCAGAGATATAGTGGAACTAACCGGTCAATTACGTAGTGAACGACGCTGCTCCCATCCCCGCCCCTCACCCCTCGGAGGGAAGCTACCACTGGAGCTTTGAGAGGTGTGTAGATAAGCTCATGTTTCATGCACCTGACAGGATACTGAACTAATGACTAAACAGAGCCATCGCTGCCGGTCTTGTCCCTCTCACCATTGCGCCCTTCGCTGCCGGCTCTCTCAACCCAGTCATGGACGCAGTCCTTTGCTCTTTCATCGTTCTCCACTCCCACATTGGATTCCAGTATGTTCATCCATCTTGACATGAATCTTTGATCCCGTTCGATACTCATACCACCTAGGGCTGCCATCATTGATTACTTCCCCGCTCGCCGTGTCCCCAAGACCGCCACATTCTGCAACTGGCTCCTGCGCGCCTTCACTCTTACCACTGCCGTCGGTCTGTATGAGTTTGAGACCAACGACGTTGGTGTAACAGAGGCTTTCAAGAGGGTGTGGAAGGCATAGATCGTTGCATTGATATATCCCTGTTTCTCATTACTTTCTCTTTAAACTTTCCTTCCGTTCAGGCGTTTTGCCTATGTACATGCTGTTTCTGTTAAAGTAAACCAGTCCAGCTGGTTGGCGCTCTTGGTATTGAGCTAAAAGATATGTAACTGTTCAAATGGATACTGTTGGAAAATGTCTCTTGCTTTCTTTTGAATCCTTTCTATACGGTCCTCAATAACCTTCAGAGAAGTACAAACGACCAGCGTTTATAAAAACATGCCGTATGCAAGCCAACCACAGCCATACATCCTAATCACTCTCCTCTTCCGCTTCCTCAAGACCATCCGACAACCGATCATCATCATCAGCCTTCTCAACCACCTTCTCAATCAACTTCAAAGCCGACTTCAACGGCAAACCCACTACATTATCCCAGCTCCCCTCGATACTCTCTACCAAAATCGACCCCAACCCCTGCAACCCATACCCACCAGCCTTATCCGCCCCCTCCCTAGTCCGCACATAAGCCAAGATCAACTCATCCGTAACCTCCCCATCAAACCGCACCCTCGTCTCCTCCAGCGCCGTCTCAAGCGCATACCCCGGCTGCCGCGCACTAACCAACGGCGCCATAGCCGCCATCGCCGTAAACACCTTATGGTCACGATTATCCCGTAGCGACTTCAGCATGGCGATATGCTGCGCCTCGGAGCGGGGCTTCTCAAGAATCGTCCCGCTAGCCGAATCCACGACGATGGTGTCCGCCGCGAGAATCAGCGCCGGCTCGCCCTTCTCCTCGTTCACGATCTCTTGTTCATAGACCGCTTGCGCCTTCTTCGTGGCCGTGGCGAGCACGTACTCGAACGGCTCCATTGTCTTGGGGAAGTCCTCGTCCGCATTGGAAGGGATGACTTCTAGATTGGGCAGGCCGAGGTGAGACATAATTTGTCTGCGGCGCGGGGACTGCGAGGCGAGGATGACTCGCTTGCCGCGGAGCTCATTGAGCACCGGGAGGGAGAGCGGCGGCGGACGGGGTAGCGGTGTACGAGTTGCTGGTGGGTTGTTGTTGCTTGTTGCGTCGTAGGCTGGTGGGGGGTCGATGGGTTCGGATTGGGAGAGAAGGGCGGTTTTTGAATCGGACATTTTGGGGTTACAATGTTTCTTCTGTCCTCGTTTTTCTTCGGCGTATTGTATATAATGTTGCGGATGTGTTTCTATGGTTGAACGTGTACGGGGGAAACTTTCTCAATGCACGGTCGATTTGCTCGAATATGAGTCGTATCTTTTTGGTTTCTGGATCTTGATAGATGGGCGGTGGATCGTGGCAGAATCTAGCGATAAGGTGGTTTTCTTTTTCTTGCGGGTTTTCCGGATCGTCGTATGCTTGTGGACTATATCCATATATAGTACCTGTTATTTGTTTAGCTGTCAGCCAGACATGAACGGTTTAAAGAGATAGTGGTATATATGATTAAACAAGAGGCATGTGTACCACACGTTATGCTTTCTG